ATTAATCACCCTGTAGAATTCCACATATTTTCCTAGTATGGAGAATATCATTGCCTAACTTTTTTCCAAATTAGTTGTTTGGATATTCTATACCATAATGGAATTATCGACGAATGTCGCACTAAAAACTCACCCTGTATATAATATATATATATACAGGGTGATTCATACACATATTATGGATATGATGAAGCTACAACTAGTAGACTTCTCTGGAAAAAATTCTCATGGAAAAAATTCCATGTTTTTTTGAAGAAAAAACGGAGCTAAGTTAGTTTTTGATAGATATAACAGAGAACAGACGTGTGTAAAAAATATAAGTTCATTAGATTTTCTAACATAAAGCGACAAACATAATTCCAAATCATTGATAGGAAGATTTAGTAATCATTCACAAATAGTTTTGTCACGTTGTTTCAAAAATTAAAGTAAAATATATACCAGTGTATTATCGTCAACGCAGTTACCACTTCAAAGGCTCACAGAGAAAGACTTTTTGACAAAAATACATTTGACTCCAATAATTGATGCGGTAATTTCAAAATTGGGAACATACCGGGCTATAACCACTAGTAATGTCAGTGGACAGTAATTATGATATTATTATGCAAGCGTAATTAAGATCCGAAATGGTTGTGTAACAACATGTCAATACTAGATGAGAACACAATTTGCGATAAATTTTGTATTTCAATTGACAGTCGTACTGCTTTTTTTCGATAATTTTTGAAAATTGAAAGATTTGGCTGTTCTATCCATCTGATATAAATTTTTTACATATCGATTTCATTGTTTACTACTAGCAACATTATACTAATACTTCCAAGCAGCTTCCTTTACGTTTTTTTAAATTTTTTTTCCAAGGGAGAAAATAATAATTTAGGGAGAGATAGTGAACAATGATTCTTACTATATTGTAGATAAATCATGATCACGTACAGAGATTTCCCATCTGGTATTTTTTTAAATAAACATTTGCATATACATGATTAAAAGCTATTTTTTAAACGGTTATAAAAGCTTTAATTAGCCTTTCGATACATTGCGCTACGATTCGTTATCATACAGTAAAATAGAACATTTACGTCTAAGCTTCAGGCTAAGATCTAAACCGATAAACGGTAGATTCATGTTAATGAACCTATTTATGATTGGCTCGATTGTCGATTTTGCTTAAATCACACAGATCATTAATGTCGCTACGTTCATATTTTACGATAGACAACTACTAGTTGTATATTAGATAATGTGTCTATTTGCACTTAAGTTGGTAATTATTTGTAATTTAAAGGAATCTAATATTTCGCATTAGGAATATTCATGGTGGAGATTTTGATTTACTTGATGAGGATTAAAAAGATACCGGTTGAAAAATCTGTAATTTTGCAAATGAGTAGAAATTGTTGGTGTTTTCTCATTTTCAATAAATTGTTAATAATTGCCCTTCATTTGAGTCCGGTAGATATGTTGTCTGTCTCTCAAATATCTTTCGTGATATTTTCGTATGAATTCGTGAATCTATCCCATCGGTTCCTCTTTTCGGTTTTCAATTATAATCACGTCTTGCTGGGTTTCCTGATTTTAGTAATTCCAATCCTTCAGTAAATTCGAGAAACTCCACGTTTAAATAAAAAAATACAGATTGGTGGCAAATCAATTTAATATTTCTATTGTAAAATTGGGACATGAAAAATGCGAAACTTGTGAAACTTTCAACTTGCACATTCCAAGCCATAAAAAGATACCAAGACTACAACAGCACTAATACAACTAGTATAACATACTGTGTAGATTTGGAGAAGACAATTATGCTGCCAAGGTTAGAAATGTTTAAAACCACAATATTCATCAACCGCCCAACCGTATACAATGAAAGCTTTGTTCCAGTGTAGAAAAAAAAAACAAAAAAATTGCAGATCTTGTAGAACACGTTCTACAACTTTTTCAAATTAAAGAAAGGCGCATCCAAGATTACCATGTGCCACTATAATACTTTTGTAAATATCTTAGGTCCTGAAAAATTCATAGCTTAGAGAATTTATAAGAAAATCCAAAGAATAATCTACCTAGCGACGATAATTTTAATTTGTTGTTCAAAATTTGGAATTATATATATATATATATATATATATATATATATATATATATATATATATATAATATAAATATATATATATATGTAAGCGGGATCCTACAGCTTCTAACCGCTTCCCGCATTTCGATCGCCATCTTTTTCTATCTCTCCAGGTGTCTTCATCAATGGCTCTGTCTTTCATGGTTTCCATAACACCTTGTATTCAAGACTTGGCTGGTCTTCCTCGTTTCCTTCTATTACTTGGATTGTATTCTATAGCTTTTTTTGGCCATCTGTTGTCGTCCATCCTCTGTACGTGTCCATAACATATTAACTGTCTAGTTTCTATCTTCAGAAGTTGTATGTAATGTTTTTTAACATGATCCAAAACATTCGGATAACCCATTGGTTCTATACAATAGAAACACAAATATTAATATTATTCAAAATATAGCTATCACATCTCCCGTTCAAAATACTGAAATAATAACATCAGAACAAAGTGATATTGAAAATGTTAATATTTCTGAGAATAGTAGTACCAATGTTATTCATACTGAACAATATAAAACTAATGTTTATGACTTAACCTCTACAAGTAAAATTATTGTTAATTGACGAACTTTTCACTTAATACAAAGAAGCACAATAGCAATTATAGAATTTAATTGTGTCAACTATATATAGGTACCCCATGCCGCACAGAAATCTTTGGTTTTTCTTGAATTTTCATTTGTTTCTAGTTTTTTATTGTGTTAAAGCAGTTGTTCAATAACTAATTTTCAGTGTCCTAAATAAACTGTCTAATAACTATAATTTTTTTTAAATATTTTAGAAAATATATATTGACAAAAAAGATTTAACACTTTTTTAAATTCTTTTAGCCATATTGTAATAAATTGTTTAGACTACGTTTTGTATAAATTTCAATTCAATCTGCAGAGAAAACTGAATTACGAATTTTTAAAGTTGAAATTTCTTAAGTGTCCAATAACTGTATGGTTTACCCTACATTTATAAATATATGACTCATGATCTAGATAGATAATTATTTATTCTTATTAAAAACAAGTGAGCCGATCGCTAATTTACTGAGGTTTTTCTTATTAAAAGGGGAAAATTTTCATGTTTATCAGATCGGTACTCAGCAGACTTACCGCAAAACATAAAACCTGCTATGATAGTAACTTTGAACGGTTGAGATGGAAAATTAAAAAATGACAAAACATTTAATTACTTTATTTTGACATATATATTTTTGAAAATCGAAAGTCAATTTCGAATTTTTGTAAGCTTCTAAAACAGATCTTCACACACTTCCGATCTGAAGTCCAAGTTAGATGAATATGATCAAGTTAAATGAATTTAGAAATAATGATGGAGAAAAAATGCAATATTTTGACTGTAAATATATTAGCGAAAAATAGTAACTATAATTGAGAATAAATTACGAGAATTAACGGGCTTTAGCTCATAGTGCTATCTGTACAAAGCATATAGACTCACCTTTTGGTATATTGATGTATTCGTATCAGGCAGAAGAATTGGTCAATGCGCGTCACGACGTTCACGACGGGGACGCCCGGCGCCCAGGTTCAAAAGTGGACTTAATCAATACAGTCGATATGCTGACTGTACGCTGTCTCGTTAGGAAGTGTCGTCTCGAGATGACCAGAAAAAAAACCCTCTAGCTGTTCTTATGGTGGTCAACGTTCGTGGGAAAGTGCATCCCATAAATCAACCCTATTGTAGGGCGCTTCTGAATAGCGACAATCTAATTCAATGGTCACAGTAATATGATACTTTACACGTTTTGTGTGTATTATCGACACAAAAATCAAAAGTCAAATTCGCTGAACTTAAAATAGCCAGTTTAATATTGAGATTTTACGAAATAACAGGAAACAATATACTTTAAAGCAAAGTCGTTAGAGTATGCCATTAAATTAGATCATATTATATAGTACAGTAAATGTATAAAAAAGTAAAAATATAAATATAAATACTACATACTTTCCCTAGCACCTATCTATCTAAAAGACCATATTATTCAGTAGAAGAGTTTCTTAACCAATAACTAAGAAATTTACATTTATGAACATTACATGCAGCAATTTAATTGCCAGAGTAGTCGGTGCGTTTTGATTTGGTTTGAGTCTGCTTACAAACTCCTTCTGATGAAGGGTAGACTCAGAAACACGTCTCAGGAAGTGGTAAGAGACTCAAATTAAATCGAAACGCAACCTTCTTCGTATATTTATCATCCTTTCTCGACGCAATGAGTACAAGAATGATGGGTATTATAAATTATAAATTGTTGGTGCATAGTGGAATCTAATTATTCTCAGCACCGCTCTGAATGGCTTGATTAAGCTTGGGTATACAGTTTACTTTAATTGCTATCGACGTATCTTTATCTTTCCTCACTAGAGGTCTCTAGTTTCATACTCTGGTAGTTATTTCCTGTAATTGCCAGAGTAGTCGGGGCGTTTTGATTTGGTTTGAGTCTTCTTACAAACTCCTTCTGATGATGGGTAGACCCAGAAACACGTGTCAAGCAGTGGTAAGAGACTCAAATTAAATCGAAACGCAACATTCTTCGTACAGCAATTTAAACTTATGGAGTTATAGATTCGTAAACTTTTATTATGCAATTTGCAATGTATTTAAATTTTGCAATGGATTGTGTATTTTATTATCTTTTATTTTGTGATATTGACGATTTATGTAATTTCAGTAAATTTTAAATGGTTATTGTTATTTTTATGACTTCTTGTAAGCTTTGTCCATAAAATTGTACAATTTTCAGTGACAATGAAGCATATTTCTATTCTATTCTAATAATACAGTTAATAAAACAAAAGATAAATTAAAATGAAAGAATAAAACAAAAAATTCCTATGTTAACATAATGTTATTGTTTCAGGACCGCCTTACAGCGACTGGTCATGGTTCCCTGACACTCAGCGGCGGCTCGCCTGGTGGCGGTTACTCCGCGGGAGGTTCAGCCGCCCACCACCGAGCCGCCTCTGGCCTTCATCATTCAGCGGCAGCAGCCATGCAACATCAACTGCCACAACCCGATTTTCAACCCCCCTACTTCCCGCCGCCCTTCCATCATGCACCCAGTCCACCACCTCAACAGCATTTGGAGTACCTCACTGATCCGTACGGGGGCCTTTCTGGGCTGCACCATTACAATCAACTGGGATTGAGGCCGAGGGATGGGGATGGCAGCCATACACATGTTGTAAGTTGTTTTGATATAATTTTAACAGCAATACTAAATTAGTTATTAATATTATAATACTAATAATAAAAAAATATTTGTGGAATAAAACACAGTATTTACAAAAAATCATGAAAATTGTTTTAAAACAAATTAAGAGTGGAAAATTGTGTAAATTTTAATAGAATTTTAACAGTAGCGAGTGTTTTAAGTGTTTTTTAATAGTGGTGAAATATTCCATGCATTTATACACAATAAAAACAATATTAATAGGTACTTACTAAAGACATTAAGCAAGTGACACCTGCCGTGATACACTATAGTTTCGTAAAATGCTGCCTGTCTTATTTTTTTTTAATTACACCTCTTTGTGGTACAAAACATCAAAAAAGTCTGTCATATTTTAGTATTAATATAACAATAATTAAATAAATGTTAATGAAAGCTATTAACTGAACCTAGAACATTCTACTGTGAAGTAAACCATAAAGATTTTATTTTCCTAACAGTGTCGTTTACGGAGCACCTGCTAAGTTAAAATTGCTTATTATTGATTATTGTTAATAAAGTTACTATGTGCAAATGGTTTCTACTTTTTAAATATTGGGATAGACCAGTAAGTAAAAGCCAATACTTAGCATCTAGTATTTTAGTCACTATAAAATTAATATAACTATAAATCATGCTATTAAAAACAACATCCGCTTTTCTTTTTAAGTTCTGCAATTTGAGCTATCCCCTCCACTTTCCTATGTCGATCTTTCGAAAGTACCTTCGTGTCGAAGTGCTGTAAGTTTCCTAAAAATTTGATGAATTTTATAGTTATAAGTTTCAATATTAAGTTTAGATTTTCATTCAAAATTAGTGCAAATTTTACTTCTTATTGTTTATAAACAATGTAGATACGATTTTTTAAAAAAAGATTACCTAACTTGGTTCCTATTGGTAATAGAAGGTTTTTTTTTAATGCGATTTTTTTTACCAGCTATCCAATAGTTGTACGTACAAGTCTGTAGCTTGCAAAATATAGAAGTTGTTACAATTGTTTATAAGTAAAAAACACACTTTCGATGAAAACACAATATGCATTTAACTTCTAAGATAGTTAAGTCTTAAAGAACCCTATCAAATTTGCTAAATGTGTCTAGCATCGTTAATAGAGCAAGTTCAATAGTTTAAATAATTAGCCTCAGGGATAAACAAATTAAATAACTTTTAAACTATTTGACGATGATCTAAAACGCTAATTCCTCGATGATCAAATAAATTAAAATCAAAATCAAAATAAAATTTATAAATTTCTGCAAATATCTCCATAAATTATTTATCAAATTTAATTTAAAAAAATAAAGAAATTCTTGAGATAAAAAATTTAGTAACCCCCACTTATGTCTTAAAAGCTTTAGATATCTGCGAAAAATTTTGCCGTGAAATCGATGATTTTTGCATAACCAGACTGGGCTATGTGAGCTTTTTTGAGAATGGCAATATTTGGCAACACCGGATGCAAGCATAACTCAAGATGAAACCGACTTTGCCCTTTCGGTTTGTATATGATCATATGTAAAGGGGTGCAAGCGGATAGCTTAAATTCTTCCTAAAATATTTAGTGTCGGAACTATGTCAAGATGAGAGAAATATGCCGGGACTTTGGAGTAGACGGTTTAACAACGTCGTCTAAGATCACGGTCTATACATTGATGAACGCGGTCATAGTTGCGGCATATATCTTTCATTAAAAATATCTGGAGCAAGTATAACCCTTTAAGGCTAATTAAACTTTAAACATTAATAGGAAGTACATAGTTTAAGCTGATAGCCATTTGATGAGTACGTGTAAACAATAAAATATAATAAAGCAGTAAATTTCTACAAAAAAGTTTTGATTACTTTGACTTGAAGTGAGTCATCCGATTAATATTAATATTGAATCATCTGTTTAAATTTTTATGACACTTCTCGATTTAAAATAAATTTATTCAATTACAATAATTATTATTTTTAAACATATGATTTAAGTTATATACCTATTAATTAAATTTACTATCAAAAAATATTTAGGTATTTATATTTTATTATTAATTTGCTATTTCGTTGGAATTTGATAGGTCTGTCAGAAGTAAACAACGTATGCTTTGTCAATACGTCAGCAGGTGGCGTTAGGAGCAAACATAATAATGTCTTCTTCGCGTGCCATATCAGAATTACTCGACGTTGGCGATCACCATTGCGAAGGCTCTTTGATCTTATGCAATATGAAATAATTGTCCCGCATTTGAAATCCGAAGTCCATTCACGAATGTTCCTCAATCAAGAAACCCGTTTGCTTCCTACACCTCTACGACCCTCTATTTTGCCTTTAAGGATAAGTTGTAATATTTTATATCGACTTCTCCTTACTATGTGTACCAGATAAGACATTTTTCGATGTTTAATAGTCTTTAACAGTTCTCTATCTTTGTTGACGCTCCTTTTTTCATTAGTTTTCCTTGCTGTCCAAGGTATCTTCAGAATCCGTCTATCAACCCACATTTCCAATGCTTCAATTGTTTTTATGATCGATACTTTTAACCATTCTTTGTCTTTGTTCTAACCTGAGATGATTATTGCAAAGAAATGACTTTTTCATAAAAGTAGTTTTAGTCATTGCTATTCTACGTTTTATTTCTATGTCTGGATCTAGTTGCTCCGTTATCACAGTTCCCAAATATGTCATTTTGTGAACTTTCTCAACTTGGACTCCGTTCAATTTAAGCTTTGCAACCTTGGGTCACGACTAAACACTAAAAATTTGGTTTTGTTTGAGATTATGTTTATGCAAATTTCCTCTCCTACCTCGTGAATACGATCAAACAGAATTTGGAGACCTTAAATATTATCTGACAGAATTACTGGATGGTCTGAATATCTAATCACAATAAGTAGTTCTCCGTTGATTTTTATTCCATATGGTTGTCCCTCAAGTGCCTTTTTAAATAACTGATCCGAGTAAACATTGAACAATGTTGACGATAAAATGCAACCTTGTCTGACTGAACCAATTTTTACGATAACAATTTTATTCCAGTAGGTACAAATTTTTAATGACATGAATATCCTTGTCATTTATTCCGATATGTTTCAGTATTTGCATTAATTTTACATGCTGTACGTTATCGAATGCCTTTTCGAAGTCCACGAAACATGCAAATACATATTTTCTTTTATCACAGCATTTTTGTAATAAGATGTTAGGCGCTAAAAGTGCCTTCCTGCTTCCCGTAGCATTTCTAAAACCAAACTGGGTATCTTCGAGATCTTCTTCGCATTTGCGTCTAATTCTGTTGTGAAGTAGGGGTGAGGGGGGCAAGTTGTTACATAATTGATTCTATTATTTATTTGAGCAATAGTAGAATCTTTTATATGAAAACTAAAATCGGATTAAGGTAGTTGATACATTTACACAAATAATGTTAATTTTAATTTATTTAAAAAATCATATTTAACATTTTGTTATTATCAATTTAACTCAACTTGTAAATTGTAACAACATACCCCACTATGAGGCAAATTGTTACAGTCCATGGGTAAGATGTTACAATAAAAAAAATTCTAAAAACTTCCCACAATATTATTTAGTGGTCACAGAAAGAACCCTTGCTTAGCTACAAAAATATTATAAACATAACACAAAATGAAATAAAATAAAAAATGAAAATCTGAACAAACCTGTTTACAAGAGTGTTAAACTAGTCACTATCGGACGAGCAGTGAATACAAATATAAAAATCATCGTCTTTTCCACAAGCAATATGTGCCCACTTTTGACACACAATGCACCGAATCGATTCTTCGTTTTTGGACCTCGAAAATGGAGCTAAACATACTAGACACGTCGATTCCTCATCCTCTTCCGAGCTTTCAGAATCTGATTTTTTGAAGGTGTTTTTGGTAATGACGGTCCGTTTCTTACATTTTTTAACAGTAGTTTTTACCTTGTTTCTTGATTCACCTGATATGTTTCTTTTGGTTGCCCCCACATTTTTTTTTCTTTGTCTTGCCTTTTCTTCCTCCTCCAAAGCTGATTTAATGGGAGTATCAGTCAAAACAGCGGAAGTTCTTTTCTTCCGACCCCTGGCTTCAACTCCTGGGGCGTTATATGAGTAGGTGAATCGACAGGTTCATTTATCGCCAAGTTAAAATCTGTGCTTGTAGAAGGTTTACTGTTGCGTTTATATTTTCTGTTATTGGCCTATTTGTTACCTCTGCAGGCAAGAATTCATCATCTTGAAAAATTTCTCTGTTGTATGGCCAAATTCCTGTCACACTAAATCCTTTTTGTATATTGAGAGGTGTAACAGCAAGAGGAAATGAATCTTTAAGAACGATAGGTATATCGTAAATGTTCATTACTTTACCGGGATTAGATCTTAACCATGCATTTGCAGCACTATTAAAATATCTTTTAAGTGGGCCAAATACCGTCCTATCAAGCTGCTGCAACTTGTGTGATGTATGTGGCGGGAAACTTAAAAGAACCACTCCATTTTCTTTGCAAAAATTCAACACCGGAATAGACAAATGAGACTCGTGATTATCTAATACCATCAAAATGGGTTTCTCTTTGCTACATCGTACAAACTGGACGAAATGTTTTATAAACAACAAAAAGTTATCACATGTCATCCATCCAGAGGAATGAGCCGCACCTACACAACCAGAGGTCCATTGGCTACCATAACATCTTTGAATTTCTTTCTCGGAAATATTAAAATGGAGGTACAAAATTTCCAGTTGCGTTGGCAGCTAATGCCAAGGTAACAAGTTGACCTCTTTCTCCAGATGTGATAGCACCTACCTGCTTAGTTCCCCTTTTTGCAATGATTTTTGTAGCCTTTGGACAGTTGTAAGTCCAGTTTCGTCCATATTGTACACTTCTTGGAGCTCAAATTTATATTTATCATAAAATCCGAGATTGTTAAAAAACTGTGACACATTATGAAAAATCCATATAGCCAGTCTCTGGAAGCTATTTCATTAACCTTCAAATTTTCCGGAACAGATATTTGGTTGGCTGTTGCAGTTTGAAATGCAAATTTTCTCAAATCAGAAGTTGTAAGACCGTAATAAATTTTAGCAGAATGCTCAGTATATCGGCAAGTTCCTCTTCTTCAGCATTGTTAAATATTTTTCTGGCCGTAGCGTAGCCGACTAAGTTCTTGTTACTGTTTTCAGCACCTAAGTTTGATTTTCTTTTCATATAGCGGTGCAATGTCATAAAATGAACTCCATAGCGAGTAGCAGCATCCCTAATTGACAAGTGTTCTTGTAAAACCGATTGCGCCGCCCTTTCAAATTGTTCGGTTGGAATAATACCCCTTGTGGTTTTCTTGGTATACGTTCGAACCATGTTAAGCTATCTGAAAACAACCAAAACAATTTCATGATAGAAAAATTTAATAAAACCTAATCTGTGTTTCTAACATGCTTTGCGAAAATAAATGTAGGTAGGTATGCTATTCATTACAAACAAATTACTATCTACAAAATATGTCTGATCATAATATTGGATTTTTAGTGAAATCATAAATTATGGTAACCATATTGTAACCATTGTAGGTATTTCGATATATTCTTACATTAACGAGTTCGGGGCAAGTTGTTACAGTAACAACCTGGCCCCAGATTATTGTAACAACTGGCCCCACGTGTACGAAATGAGGTTAAGTCAAGTTTTTTGGTAAATATTGAGAATCAATTACTAACAATAGCATGCCAATAACGAGAAATATATACGCTTCAAAACTATATAATACACATATTTATACTACTTACCTATTTCTCACATATAAAAACAAAAGCCACCTGACAACGGTACAGTTTTAGACCCGAAACCACATTCTAAGCAATAACACTATGATGGATGTCTGACTTGAGTATCAATATCCGTTCACAGATGACGCTGACGGGTCGGTTGACCCAACTTTCCATAAAATATCGGCAACTCATGATACTTGTTGCGTTTTAAAATAATTGTGTAACAACTTGCCCGTGTAACAACTTGCCCCCCTCACCCCTATACTTAGAAAAATTTTAAGAGTGTCATTTTCTCGCATTGTGTTTTTTAGGTATTGCGATAAAGATGGATTTGAGCCAATCTGTGGGAATCACTTCGGTGTTATATATTGAATTAATAAGTCTTACCACTATTTTCATGTTATCATCCTCTATTAGTTTCAACAACTCAGTTGGTGTATCATCTGGACCACAAGCTTGTCTAATTTTAGCATTATTTATAGCGTGTTCTACCTCGCATATCATAATTTCTGGGCTGTCAGTACAGTTTTGGTAGAATTCGGGAATATTATTCCTGTCATCTTCAAACGACTCAGATTATACAGCTGCCATTCTTTTCTTATTTCGTGCTCATATACAATAATTTTGGTATTACTGTCAAAGAGCACAGAGGGAACTCGTTTTTTAAAATGTTACTCATTTCTTTTAGTTTTTTTCTGCATTAAATGAGTCGTGTTTAGATATTACATTCTCCATTTCGTCGCACCTTTCTCTCATCCATTTTTTTTTGCTAATTTGATCTACTTTTTTATTCTTCTCTGCAAGTGTCTATGTTCTGTTTCATTAGATTTTATCAGTCGACGTTATTCCATTAATTTCAAGATGTCGTCTGTGATCCATTTACTTTTGTTGATTAAGTTTTTTCTATAATCATTGTTTGTGGAGATTTCGTTAAGTTGGTTTTCAAATTCACTCCATAGTTCTTCTGGATCTTTTAGTTGTTCTCCGATGTTTTTTATTCTATTGATAAATTCTTTTATAATGTTATATTTTATGTTTATATCGTCAAAGTTAAGTACATTGGATTTTGGTTTTTGTCACTGAATTCGTTTTAACCTTAGTTTAATATCTGCTACAAGTGGTTGATGATCAGATCCAATATCTACCCCAGGAAATGTAGTGACTTTTTTTCGGCATTTGGGAAACGGTCATTTACAAGTATATAGTATAGTATATTTGATTTCTTGAGGACTCAGGTTTATTGCCATCATCAAATGGGGCTTTCCAAGTGTATCGTCGTCGCTTGGGTAGTTTATACCAGGTGTTTGCAATGATCGTATCGTTTTCTTTACAGAATTCATACAATCTCTGTCCTCGATCGTTAGGTTGTCCTAGACCATAAGGACCTACAGTCTGACCTCGTCGACCTTCCCCAATTTTTTCAGTGAAGTCGCCCATAATATATAAAATTTCGTATTTATTAAGTTTCTGTAAGAGTTCTTGGATCTGATCATACAACTTCTCGACTTCATCGTCATATTTTCTATCTGCAGTCGGGCATAGATTTGAAGTATGTTAGTTTTTATACTAACTACTTATTTATAATAATGTATTAAACTATTTTAATATAATATAATTTGATGAAGATTTAAATAATAAATAAATAATAAAATTACTTTATTCATTTTTAAAAATATTATTCAAATTTTAAAAACATAGAAAACGTAATATTAAGTTTCGTGCTAGTCCACTGCACTGCCCACTGTACCATATTTTTTCTATGTATTTACTAAACATTTTCCTCTGTTCTATATGTTAATAACCAAATTACATATTTTCATTTTCAGAGTCAGTTAGGTCATGGTACGAGTTTTCCCTATAGCACTGGTCCAGGTGGGGGGAGACCCGATTATACTACTGCCTCTCAACGACACGACGATCCCCTCTCCCTCCATCAAGCCTTAGGGCAAGCCGTTGAAGAGGCTCAAGGAGGCTTAGACGATAATACGGGTTTCATCACAGACTTACCGTTACTTAAAAGTAAGTGCCAGTATTTTATATAGTTCAACTTTTATATACTTACAAAAATGTTGTTGAGGTTAACTGAGTACCACGTTACATTCGCTAAGTTTCTTCCAATCATTTTATCTTTTAGTTTTGTTACTGTATATTGTCAAAATACTGTGTACTGTCGGGATTCCGCTGCATTATCCCAACTGATTTTTCATGTTAACTTTTCTCATAAGAAAGACGGATTGTACTTTTTAATTTATTAGGTCTTGTAAGGTCGCGCAATAGAAAATATCTAGTGTATTATGATAACAATTACATTCTCATTTTTACCTATATACTTCCCTAATATCACGTTTTGGAATTGAACTAATTTCAAATCGAACACATGTAAATCAATTTCAATTTGATTCTGTGTCCAGATCTGGCCAGATGTGACCAAACAACTACTAAAAATAATCAAAAAAAATAATAGAACAAAGCAGAATTCCTCAAGAATAGAGATCAAGCATCCTAACACCTCTTTTCATAAAGGTAGACAAATCGCACTCG